TCATAATGTATCATATATTTCCTTATCTGAGTCAGCTGAGCCGTATCTGGCCGCGCAACACTCACAGTGTCACATACTGTATGCAGAAGTATTATTAAGTTGACGACACACTCGAGTCAAATGTAATTAAAGTCAAATCGTGTCTTAGACGGGGCAGTGATATCATAAACCTGTTAATGTACGCATTCAAACACTTTTTCTTTTACCAGCTGTATTCACCTTGCAGGTGCAGCTATGTGGCTTTTATCCTGGATAAAGTGTTTAGGTCATGGATGTTTAAAGTTTAACTTCTTCATATGTCTAATATTATAGTTGACTTTTCATTCAGGAAGTTTGACGCTGCGCTGTGAGTACGCTTGTCCATGTTTGTGATTGGTCGAATGCTCCAAATACCACCCCTTTCATGTGAACGCGCACCTAACTAGATACGGCACGGCTGGCTTGAGCGATCCACTTGATAACCTGCGTCGTAGTACAGCTTAGCAAGAGCGCGTATGTTTTGGATTAGGCCAACCGGCTAACTCAAACATATCCAGGTTAGGTTGAACCAGCTTCGTAGAACAGGCCTCTGATGGCTGCCAATCCAACAGCTTTAAAATGTGTCTTGAAGATGCATTGCCTCAGAGCACAAAGGTACACAACATATTGGTACTCTTCTAAGACTTTTATTGCACATTATTACTATAACTTAATATGCGTATTGTTACGGCCGCCGCCTCCCCGGCCCTGTTAATTCTGTTTTGAATGTGTGTTGAATTTTGCCCTGCTGTCATTGGCTACCCATCGGGCGCTCCGAAGACTGAGATTGGAGCTGACGGGACCAACACGCTCCAATCCCAGCGCACACCTTCCGGAGACGACTACAAAGCCGGTCGACAATGATCAGTCGGGAGGCTCTGCTGTGTGAACAGATGCCTCTCGCTAGTTGCTCTTGATTGTGTACAAATCTGTTAACTGTGGTTAACTCGTGTGGTCCGTGTTCATCAGTACTGTTGTGATTAGATGTGCCTAGATTAGGTTAGTATTGTTTGACTGTTGTCCTCTACCTTAGCTGTGTTTTCTTACAGTCTCCTTTTGTTAGTCTGTACCACTTTGGTAGTGAGGGATGTTTTGTTGCTATTTAGTTTGTTAGTACCTATTTCTTTGTATGTAAGTAGGCCCCGTTATTAGAGTCCTTCCTTTGTTGGTTGCCCGTTGAAACCCACGCCCTTTTGGACCTTTTGTTTGTTCAGGCTCGTGCCTTCCATTTTGTTCTATCTGTTATACAATAAAACTATTTATAATTATTACCAATTCCAACTGGTGTATGTTGCTTTCCTCTTCCCCTAGTTGGGACGTAACACTTATATAAACATTTATTTATTTTATATAAAAAATTGTGCAACTTTCACAAAACCTAATTTCCCCACGGAATTAATCAAGTATTCTAATTCTGTTCAAGACCGATAATATCACAATAAAAAGACCCAGGTGTTTATGAGTGGCATGAGGTTGCATGCACTCAACACTGCTATCAACAAGATCCTGCTGTTGGTTTTGCAAGACTCCAGTGATCTGCAGTAACGACAGAAACGCAGCAATGCAAGGGAGAGAGGAAGACGGCTGCAAGTTAAAAATAGTTTTGGAAATGTTTTACGTGGAAAGCGCACCTGTAAGCAGTAGGCTAGTGGAGTTTTGCAATTTTGGATCACTGGATTGGTTGTGGATGTGCAGGAGTCTTGTTCATTAAATAAAATATATGTTCCTGACACAAGTATAAGGTCTATTTAAAGTTTTAAATAAAAAACTGTCACGTATACTCCCATATTGAATATATCACGCAGCAGACCTTAAGGTTGGTTTCTCCATCGAGGCTAGCTGTGGTGATGTGACAGGTGCCGTCCTCACGATCGGAAGACAGCAGCGCCAGGTCAGCTGGGAACGTCTCATCTTTAGCCACTCGGACAATGTCCCCCACCTGGATGGACACACATCAAGGTCAATATTGGTTAAGTGTCCAACATTTTCTTTAACCGGGTGTTCAATTGTATTCAAAGTCTGCATTTTCATAATATAATTAAATATTTTTCTGTGATGATTCCACCGTTTCTTATTATTTATATATTAACACAGACAACAATTCATTGTGTAGCTGGCCAAAAACAGGAAGAACACTATGGAAATCCAAGTATATACAAATTAGTTCTGTTTTTATTGACGTCCTTATCCTTTACTTCTATATGGACCAGCTCTACATAAACACCCCAAGCATCAGGAATTTAACAGCCAGGCTTGAAGTATGTATGTCTGTTGTCTATAAGCTGTGAATAAAGCTATTTGTAGGTGCTTTTAAGAACACGTTTTACAAGATGTAATGTCCTGTACTCAAACAAAGAGCAAAGCTTTGAACTTGAATGACTGGTATAAACAAGGTACTTTTAGGGTGTCGTTTTTGCCGTCTTACTCTGATGTTCTTGGATTTTGTCTGGACGAGACATCCACTGCGAACCACAAACACTGGAGCCCCGTTCACTTCGTTGTCTGCCTTGTGTCTCAGCCAATCCTCGTAGCCCTAGAAAATACATTTGTTGAATATTATTATTATTATTGATCAACTGTACTGACAATTATTCTAAACACACCTTTTCATATCAATGCCAAATTCAGTACTGGTTAGGTAATAGAGATCCTTAACCAACAACAACAGCTTTTTTATATTTGTATGTATTTTTATTTTGTGGCTAATGACACTAAAAGGAATGCATTTGAATTCAACTGAATACTAAACTAACTTGAAATGGGTTGGCTATCTCAAGTCAACAACAATTGATCCAACTTTAATGTTATGCACTGTTTGTTAGTTCCACATTGTCAGCACAACAAAGAGGAAGCAACCATATGCTAATTTCCTCACCTGTTTTATGGCAGTTACTGTGATCACAAAGAAGAGAGGCAGACCACTGGTGACGGGGGAAGTTGGGGTGTCTATCATTAGCTAGAAAGAAAAATACAAGAGGCAAGTTTGCAGATAAATAATTGAGGTGCAGCAGGTAGAACATTGAGAGACTTAGTTAAAGTGGGTGTGCCCTGTCAGAGAAAGTGAAGTAGAAAGACAAGAGAAGTACAGGCAGATGTGTGAAACAGGAAATCCCTATAACTTCCCTCCTATTCTCGTAGGTTAACTATCTGTTTAGATATACACACTCACACTCAAAAAGGGATATGAAAAGCTTCAAAGGCAACATTTACTCGAGCTGACACTCAGATTTCCCAACCTCACATGAATCATTGAATAGCTGTTATTTTTGAAAGTTTAGGTGTCCCAACACTAACCCTTCTCTGCAAATGTTTAAACAAATCTTCCTCAAAGTACTACTTTACTAATAAATCATTCATTCACAAACACATTTTCAATTTTGTTTTGTGGCCTTTATTGAGTAGTTAATAGTATAGAGAGGCATGAAATAAGGGGAGAGTTGCTATATATTTAGCAACTATAGACAAGTACAAGCCTTTTTCCTTCAAGGGAAACTACAACTGTTAAATTCAGTTTCAACTTTGTATCCCAGGGAATTAAAACTTTAGGGTGGTGTGCAGTTTGGATCCATATCCGGCCAAAATGTCATCACTTTGCCTTCTATCCTACTAGACATTTGTGTTTATTTAATATTTAGCATATTAATGCTTGAGTTAACGTCAGACACTATAAAGGTCAGAGGTTAAAGTGACCTTCAACCATCAAAATCTATCCAAAAGTGGACAATTGTGCCAAATGTTTTAATTTCCTGAATATGTTCGAGATATCGCGACTACAACAATGGGATGAAACCTGAAAGCATAATATAAAATATAATAATAAAAAATAACAATACGGAGTTCGTATTGAGTAACTGTAGGAGGTGAGATAAATTTGAACTTAGAAAAATTGTGTGCAATGTATTCTTGAAAAAGTCAGTTAACACCCTATGCAAAATGTGTTTTACATAAACTATAATCCAAGCTGAGAACTCCATGCAAAAAATCTAACAAAAAAGCTTTATGTTCACAATGTCAAGATGAGGTCCTCCACTTAGCGATTTTATACAAGTCTGACTTCAGCTTCACTGACGGGTGAGTGGGTGAAAAGAGAGGCTTTTTAGAAAGAGTCAAGTCGATTAGTCTGGCTTCACTACACAGGCCCAAATAAATCAGGAGCAGGCTGAACATTTGAAAGGCAAATCTGACTTCAGCACAGGCTGACTGATGCAGAGTGAAGGCCTAACGCCTCGGGTAGATGTAAAGAAGACACACATATTACTTAATGTGTTGGTGTAATGTTTTAATTAGGAAGCAGACCTGTCCTGCTACTTGTCCTTAGTAGTCTATGAGTCAAAAGCTTACTCGTGTGCAAACAGACAAACACACATTTGTAATTCAGGGCAGGGAAACTAAGGTCGCACTTGACTTGTCACCATCTGAGGGGAGTACGTGTACCTGTAAAAAAAGAGTTATGGGTGTGTTTGTGAGTGTTATTACCTGTACAAGGAAGATAATGAGAAAATAGAAGTTGGCTATCCTTCTGAACTGCTCGAACAGATTCTTAGGGATGAAATTCCAAACTGTGTACTGAAAGAGAAAGAAAAAAACAACTTTGAGTAAAAATGCTATTTAGGCAGGGTATCTGTGGGTTTCAAAAAGATATATTTGAGACTCTTGTTCCGCCTTCTTGAATGCAAAGAGCTAAGTAACAAGTTAAATATATACAAACAAATACACAAGGCAGATACAACTAGTCTACTCTATTTATGAATATGATATATTGTTCATCTTTCATCTGAACTACTAATCCCCTCACAAATACAAACGTTTATTTTTTATCAAAGTTGATCCTCTTATCAATAAATCATGCTCCACTTCTTATCTCTCTCCCACCACTCCAGAGCACCGGATACTTTTTTTTAACACTTGTCAAGATGCCAGAAAGCAGTGTATGTACGGGACGAGGACTTTTATTTCACACATTGTTGCTGTCACTGCTCAAGCATGCAACATGTCATAGTTGATGTTTCTTAATAAAAGAAAACAGTGCCCTCATAAATAAGTGAACAGTGGTTCCATCACTTATGTAATTTGCACTCTTGGCTTAAAATGAAAAATCCTAACATGTTGATGTCATGACAGAATTTGAAAATAAAGAAAAAATCTCAAGAAGTTAAGACATTTTCAAGAACAACATCCTTACCTTCTTTTATTATGTAGACAATTGTACGTTAAAGGTGGGGTAGGTAATTTTGGAGAAACCAGCTTGAGTGCGCTAGAATTTGAAAATACAGCCGGAAAAAATCTGCCACTTCCTTACAGAGCCCCTCCTCCAACACACACGAACGCGCACATGACCAATGAGGGCACGAGATAAGTTTGTGCACAGATGGAAGGCTGACAGGCAGGTAGGCCATCCAGTTATTTTAGCCGGGCCGGCTGAAATGATTGGTCGTGCTTTTTATAGTACTACGGCTTCCAGAGATGATATTTTTTTATGGTTTCTTTGTCAAAGCACTTCAGATATTCATTGCTATTGGGATGTTAAGAGCATTCCATGGAATATAACAAAAAGTGTATCTCGAGCCGGTTTCTCAAACTTA